CTTTGAACATCACCGTGTACGCGTACACCATAAATACATACGGGACCAAGAATACGAGAGCGAGGCAAAAGGAAGAATGAATGATAAGAGCAAGGCTTTTTGATTTGGCATTCCGCCAAGAGAGCGGTATTATAGCGATAAAAGCTGATATGAACCAAATTCCCGCTAATACTTTGAACACTGCCTTTTTGGTGACTATATGATGTCTCAGTGGCTGAGCAATTGCCAGAAACTTTTCTGCAGTTATGACAAGAATGTGATAAGCTGCCGAAACAGCCGTAAGAGTGTGAAGGGCGTAGAACCAAAAGGCAAACTGATCAAACATCTGAGAAGGTACCACACTGAAAAAGAAAATAATGAAGTATGGAATGTTTACTGCGCCTGTCAGAAAGTCGCAGACCGCTAGGCCAAGCAGAAGGTAATTAGACTTGATGCGCAGGCTCTTTCGTTTATAAAACAAGAAAAACACGAGTCCGTTTGTAACAATTATTACTATGGCGATGGGAAGAACCTTGATCATCTGTCTCAATCCTTGATTTTCCACCTGATTTTGCAGTTTGAAAGCCGCACTTGCGCTGTTGTTCATGTTTGACGGGTTTTAATATTCAATCCAACTCAACTCCTGAAATCAAAATCAAAGAAGCAAATTAAGTTGAATTTTAAATTGTTACGCAAACTGGGAAAGCACGGAAGAGTGCTAACGATAAAAATATTCATGTAATCAGTCGGGTTTAAATACTTGTAATGGAGAGAAATGCCAGCAGGTGTGCCGCTTCAAAGCATCATGTAATTCTGGTACAAATTGGCGACAAGATAAAAAACTTCCAAATTTGAGAGACCTGTCTTGGCGTTGAAACTTCGACTATTAAAAGACATTAAAAATTTTAGAAAAGCCTTGAATAAAGACAAGTGCGAAATTATACACTTTTCCCTGAAATATGCAAAATATATGCAGATTGAAGGATCTGTATGAAATGAATAAAACGGATGAATCACTCAGTTGAAGAAAGACATCTACGGTAGTTGTGGAAAACTGCAATAAAAATGTGTTTGAGGAATGCATTACTAACAACAAAGGCATTTAATAAAATGGCAAAAATTACGAATTTGAAACTGAATTGCAAATTAAAGTTAACCTTGTGTTTGAAGTTTGTAAAAGTTGCATTCAGTGTTGCTTTATCATTCGTCAGAATTGTATAAGTTGCAATTGTGTCTCAGCTGTAGACATAATAGTGTACAAGTTGTGGTATTCGTATTATTCTTCTAGTGGTATGATTTTACGCAATACCCGCCTAATGTCCTATGCTTCCCCCACAGTAACTGATGTCCAATGCTTCGTCCTACAACTGCATGCCAGGCGAAAACTACCACGTAGAAGGCAGACATGACGACATTTTAGTGGAATTAGTCGGTCTTGATTGTTTGCTGAATTTTTTGGTTTGTTCTGAATAACAATTATTCAGCTATGTTTTATTTTGCTCTCTGGATTTTCTGTGTGGTGCTTGATTTTAACACAAACGACTACCATCACATCGGTGAAAAAAAAAACTATTAAAAGTAATCCATGGCAATTTTAACTCATTCGAAAAATTGTGCCGATTAAAACCCTTGCCGATCATCCCCAAAAAACCTTTATAAACAAAATGTACCTGTTTTCAAACTTTTTCGATGAACTTGTGACGACAGTCGACCAAAATGTTCAATCAGTAGCCAGTTATGTGGTCAACAACATAATCGGTAACATAACATATCAAGATTTTACATTTTCTGAAAAGAAAAAAAAAACAGCTGCAAATTTATGTGGTCATGTCATAGAATATTTATCACTATCTGAGTGTAAGATGATCCGATTCAGTATTTTATAGCTGCTTTATATATCCCGACATATAATTATGATTTTAAAAATGTTGTTTATCAACGTGGATTTCGTTAATGAAATTTCAAGCGGCGGCGAAGCGGCGGCACCCATTTTTAGACCGTGCACGTACAAATCGCTCTACTCCTCTTTTTCCTCTTTTTTTTTTCTTTTTTTTTTTTATAGACATACGGTATTCCGCACACCAAAGATATTTAACCGTTTTCAAACTTGACCCACTAAAGATTTCATAAACTAAATTTGATTTCGTGACGTCATTACCGCTTTATATGATGACGGCTAAATGGGAGAAAATATATCCTCATTGGGCAGCGCTTGTCTCAGTCCAACATGGAACATATGTTTTCACCTTTTAACTCATTGTGTGACCAAAAAAGCTTGACGTAAGTAAGCCGCGCAAATAAACTTTCCTTAATCGTTAACATCAATTTTCGATAAAGGGATTGTTGTTACAGTCCGGCTACTGTTTCCTAACCTCCCACGTAGGCGTTAGGGGAGTCGTATTTCCTCCTTCCCCTAAATACGATTGCGTAATACCTATTCCCGGTTTTCACTCACGTAACAAAGGAGAAATAAAAATGGAAACCTTTCAATACAGAAAGTCTAGAATCTGGGAAATGAAAGAAGATAAATATACAAAAAGCTTGCCAAGAATCAGGTCTATGCAATAGTTCATATGCGAGATATTCGGAAAAAAGTTTTACCCAAATTTATAAAGCTTTGTATGGAGAGGCCATGTTTGTGTTCCTTTCAGGGGCACAAATATGGCCGCCGGAAAACAACAGAAACATCTGTTTTTGAGTTTTCCTACTTATGCGTGAATTCCTCGCTTAAGGAACTCACAAAGATTAAAGCAATATTTATTCTAAGACAAGGCATGTTTATACAGCAAAATCTCCAAAAATCCGTAACGTTTTTAACCCACATAAGAGCTTTCCCGGCCGCCAGCTAACTGCCGCGTCATGCAAAAACCTGGAAATTGAAGCGTCCTGTATCGCAAAACATAGAACCCTTTTGAACCGAAAATTTGTTTGTATAAAGGTTTTAAGGTGCTCTAATATCACATGAAAGTAGAAACGCAGAAGAAGCGATAGTTTCTTAGTTTGAATTTTGGTGACGTCATGACGTCAATTTACTGGTAGAAAAAAATAACCTTTTAATGACGTTGGGTTTTCTGTTGTGATATCTTATACTTAGAATGCGCTCATAGATGTAGGGGAGATTCTATTTTAACGGGAGAAAGTGCCTTAAAATGTGTCTAAAAATAAACCGGTCCGTAAGAACACCATGACAATTGGGCCTAGTATGGGAGTTGGTGGTAAATCTCACATATTCCCTGGATTAGGTTTTAATCATAATAAGGAAAAAAAACTTTTTTTATATTCTTAGAGAGAACGAAGTTTAAGCCCAAGTTGAATTTTCGTTATAAGCTATGAAAGGTCTTGGGTTCCGTTATGACATATCAGATATGAAAGCAGTTTATTAGAGTGTATTCGTAAATGTTTCGGAAAACTGGCGGGTCAGTCTAACACTTTCAATAACAGGTCAAAAATTTTCTCCGATCTTCAATCATGGCAACGATTGTTTACGAAAGGGATTCCCCCAACGGCTGTGACACTTCAGCCGAAAAACACAACGTAGAATTTGGAGGTTGGTGAATACAGTTGACTTCCGATAATTCGAACCCTCGCTAACTTGAACCCTCGATAAATCGAACCTCCCGCTTTCTCGAAGTAGTTTTTGTTTTCCCCTCAGATCTTTTCCATATAATTTTAGCCTTGATAACTCGAACCATATTTTGAGCCCTTAATTATAAAAAGTCGGGCAAAAGAACAGTCTTAACTGGCGTTCGAAACATTGAACTTTGAATTTCCCATTTAAGTGTTGTATAGTTTACTAGTGGAGGCTGATGTTGTTTTTCACAAATCTAAGAATGTGAAACAGCTTTTTTATTACTACTCAAAACAGTAAAACCCCTTTTTTAGGCAATGATTTTTAACTTTACGTTCTGATTTATAATCTAGAAGTATCTTTTCATTTTCACTTAACATTTCTACAATTAAATGTGATTAAAATGTTCACTGTGAAGTAAAAACTGTTTTTAAACGGCTTGGAAACTAAAATTTGATAGCATTTTGTTTTGAATAAGGGTATGGGCATGATTTTCAGTTGAACATGCCTACCGAGCGTAAAAATCGCATCCAGCCTGAGGATTAATGAGAGAGGGAAAATTTTATATATTTAGGCATGACAAAATTCAAGGGAACATTGGTACTTAGAAATAACATCTCAAAGGCATGGAAAAAATGGGTTCATGCCCTCGCAGCCCAAAATTGACCTTCAGGGCGGAAAAACGTTCTGCGCAAGCTTCTGCGCATCCCTTATTGCAGGCTCAAGGCGGGCT